TATTACAAAAATACAAGAGAATACACAATAACTTACTGTGGTATTTTGATGTACATTTTAACACTGACATTGGATGCAAATTATTATTTACAGTGTCTTAAACAGGATTAATCTTGTAAGGCTTCTTATTGTTCTCCCCCTCATACACAGAGAAATCATATCTCACATATGTTATGAAACATATAGAATGAAATATAAAATAAACAGGATTGTTTGTCAATTATGTTACATTTGACTTTGTCACCCTTTTAATATACTAATCCTTTAAACTTTCCTTACAAAACGTAACTCAAAAAGTTTCTCTGATTCAAGTGACATATACTACTAAACAAATAAACATACATACTAAAATCTTTTAGTATGTTTGGTATAGTTTTTTATAAATGTATGCATTGTATTTTTATTTATTATTGTTGGCTTAGTAAAAAATACTATCTAGCTCCATCTAGCTCATAGTTAGCTATCACTTTTCATTATTTATCTTAAGCAATTTTCAACCATATCTATATTACTTAAATTATGATTTTATTACATAACTAATGAATAAGTAAATAAATTATGTTGACCTAATAATCGGTGTGTCCCCAGAAGGCGGCATCTTATACTGTTCAGTTCCACCGTTATCACTACACTGAAGGCTGCTAAGCACTGAGTAGTACCGTAATCAATAGATAACTATCCACAATGTTCTTCTATGTCTGCTCAAAGCACTGTTGTCTAGTTGTCCATATCATTTGATAACCATTGGTCATTACCGCCCTGACCTTTTTGGAAAAAACTCAACTGATAAGTGAACCCCGAAAACTAGTTAGAGTGAGAATATACTGTATTATGAAAATCAAATATTTTCGTGTGGTTGGTTTGGTTTTGCAAATGTAATTTTAGGTGAGGAATTCGTTTGTCAATTATTGCTCTGTTGTTTCATATTGATTGAATTGCAATAATTTAATAGGAGTTTGATCGTATGGAAACTAGTTTAAATAGTTATTTGTGCAACTAGTGAGCAAAAAGAGCAATTGACTCACTCGAGAGAAATACTTACTCACGAGCCGTAGGCGACTTAAACTTATTAGAAGGAATGGTTTCTCGAGTGAGGCAATTGCACTTTGCACTCAAGTTGCACATTATATTTTTCCTACAGTTACCATAAAACAAATAAATTGGTAAAGAAACGTGACATATTTTTACACAGAAGTGAACTTGACATTTAATGACACAACAGTACAACAGCTGACCAGCTGATTTACAGCCAGTGCTGCCATAACGTATTTCGCGCGCATACGACCTTATCTGCATGTTACGCGCTCACTATTTCGTGCCTTCACGTTGCAAATCTGGAGTGAGACAAAGTAATTAGAGTGAGACAATGTTAACATTGTCCCACTGCGAGCGAATTGGCCACTTTGCTTTCTCAAATGAGTGAGAGAACATGTACATTGTTAGGTAACTGTAGGAAAAAACATTTTTGCTCCATATCATCTGTTAAATACCCCCGCCGCAGCAAACCTGCAGACTAAGCGAATTTCCATTTGAATGATTGGATTTACACTGAAATGTCTACTTAAAAATATAACATTTATTCCCGATTTAAATAGAATTAGTTTAACAAGTACTTAGGTTTGCTGCATCAGGGAGGGTAAAACTGTTTTTTTTTTGTAAAATGTTAATAGTTAGTAAGAAATAAAAAAATTTTCCAAATTTGATCAAAATATGTTCATAAACAAGCAAACTACAACAGTTTACTCATTCTCCATAAGAATAACATGGGAATTTTAAATTTACAATTTTTTTGAATTTTCTCCGTAACCATTAGGCGCATAATAACGCTTCAATATACTAAATTATTTGTTTTTTGAAGCTCTACAAAATGGTTTGGAAATTAATTGCTAAATTTTATGTTTTTTGGGTCAAAATTGGGAAAAACCTATTTTTACCCCATAAAACCCCCCGTAAACACCCGTTCCCATGGTCCGATCATGCTGGATCGCGAACTCGTTCGAATAGACGTAGGTTTACACGTTTGTACCAAATTTCATCAAAATCGGATCATTTTTGCTCGAGTTATCGTGCTGACGGACACACATATATATATATATATATATATATATATGAATTTGAACGGATGGTGTTTTTGGCCTCTAAGGACCTCAAAACGAAAAAAAATCGGTCCCGCGTCCAGGTCTTACCATGAGTACTACGGTAATAGCTTATTCCCTATATGGGAAATTCGCTAAAAATAAAATTGAGTAGGCCTACCGGGGGACAGGTTGGCGTGGTTGAACCATAGACAAATGGTTGGACGTTGATTGGATTTGATAGTTTATCATAAATAAACAGACATATTTTTTTAGAATTTACAAACAATGTTTTATTACAAACCATTTAATTGCTGAAATAAAAACAATTCACATTCAGATTCTTTATTCATCACAATACATTTTCCTCCCCAGCAAGGTAAAACCGGTGGCATATCAAATGAACATCTTAAAACTAAAAGCAAAATAATATTCATGATACAATTCTTTTGGCAAATAACTTTAATCTTGAATGCCTTAATTTTATATTCATATTTACATCAAAGTGTCACAAGAAATAATTTTATACATTAATATACTTTGTTTAGCAGGAGGAACTGAACTTTATTCTTGAACTTATGATCCTTACCAATATTCTTTATCATGTTTCAATGTTTATGGCAGCTTATATATTTTTTCCCAACAAAACTGAGGCAACTTTTCAAAGGAAGTCCTATCTATGAATAGGAAACTGAAAATGACTTCTGTTCATATAGTCTGGTACCTAATTGTGAATACATATATTGTTGATCTTATTCCATTAACATATTAAAGTTAGATTTGAAATAAAACGCAGATATTTCCTAATGTACGTGAATGGTAGTGTTGAAGTTTTGAGTTCCTTAAAAATAGATTTACAGAATGTTCTAGAAGTAGAATTGGTCACGAATAGAATAAAATAGAAAAGTGCTTAATAGAATACAGTGTGTAAATTAAGTATGGAAACAAATCTGTATTTTTAAAACCGAAATAGATAGAAATATTCTATTTGTGGCAATAATAGTTAACAAAGATTCAGCAATTTTTCACATGAAAAATATTTTTTTACCCCCCTAACAGGGTAGGTGGTAGGGGGTGACTTATTTTTTTCAAATAGCAACCCCTATTGAGTGACCCCTCATTTTGAAGGGTTTGTCAAAAGAAACACAATGACGCAAATCCGAGGTGAATATCTCACTCCTAGCTAACATGGCGGATATTCCAAAATGGGCTTTTTTTTACAAAAATTAAATTTTTCATTACCCACCATTTAGGCTAGGGGTGAAATATCTACCTCGGGTTTGCGTCATTCTTTTTCTTTTAACAAACCCTTCAAAATGAGGGGTCACTCAATAGGGGTTGTTGTTGAAAAAAATAAGTCACTCCCACCCCCTACCCTGTTAAAGGGGTTGAAAAAATATTGTTGATTAAAAAAATTGCGGAACCTATGTCAACAATCAATTCCACAAACAGAATATTTCTATCTATTTCGGTTTTAAAAATACAGATTTCTTTCCATTATTTGTGAAATTGGTGCTTTTCACGTACAATAAATCAAATTTTGGAATATCCGCCATTTGGGCTAGGAGTGAGATATTCACCTCGGATTTGCGTCATTGTGTTTCTTTTGACAAACTCTTCAAAATGAGGGGTCACTCAATAGGGGTTGCTATTTGAAAAAAATAAGTCACCCCCTACCACCTACCCTGTTAGGGGGGTAAAAAAATATTTTTCATGTGAAAAATTGCGGAATCTTTGTTAACTATTATTGCCACAAATAGAATATTTCTATCTATTTCGGTTTTAAAAATACAGATTTGTTTCCATACTTAATTTACACACTGTATTATGTACAGTGCATTAAATCGATTCGATAGTATGATACATAGTGCAAATATTTATTGACAATATTCTTAAATGTAAAAGTATGCAATAATAAATATATATGATCCCAAAGGATTACTCGTACAGCAATTTTCTTCCCTCTAGTCATCGAACCCTGCGTTGTTCATTTTAATAATTTTCCACGCTTACCAATGACAGCAGATGAAACATGTAAAATTAACGAAATCATATTAGTTTCAAAATGGCTTTATGAAATTTTTTCCATATTTAACCCTAGGCTGGCCAAAACACAGAACCGGCTGGGGCAGGGCACTACAGGGCATTTTGCCCCGGGGCGTCTTGAGCGACAGGAGTTGCACGGGCTCTTTATGGAGCGCCACACACAGGACCGGGCGAGGCAGGGGGCAGGGCACGTCAAAAAGACGCCCCTGGGTGCCTGATACCGCCTGATAGAGCGGGATAACAATATATAGGACGTCTGGCGCTAAACAACACTACTTGCAACTTTGCCAGGCTGCGACCTGGAGTAGTGGCTGTGCACTGTCAGAGATTTTCTTAAACAAGTGTGGGATAAGTTAAGACATTTTTCCTGAAGACAAAAAATTTGTTTTAAAGTAATGTTATCAATAAAAATCAACAGTTTAAAAACAAACCCAAACAGATCAATGTTAAAAATAAAAAATAATTTTTACAAATTTGCAATTGTATACTAGACAATTTTGACGTGTTTAAAAGTGTGTTTTTACTGTAGCATTTTTTTACGAGATTTACATTAACGTAATTTTAAGAGTCCAAAATTAATATTTTTGTGTTATTTGCCATCGTATTTGTATTCTACCTAGGGCTAGGGTGATTGAACCTGGCCATTCTTTCATATAAAAATAGATAAAATATTATTGAAGAAATGTTCCCATCGGTCATACCTATATCTCCAGAGAAAATTCTATAATTTTATTCCTTGAGAGATTTATATTCAGTGATCAAAGGTGATACTGTGTATATTGAATTATATCCTTACTTTATTACGTCGGGTGTCTCCTTACTCTTTGGTAGTTGTTGTCGTTGTCGTCAGTGACTAGTGAGTGATCAGTGATCGTCATTCATGAAAAAGATAACCAAACAGTGAAAGAAAGTGTGTTGGCAGTCGGCAGTGCGATGTTAGTTTTGTGTTAATTTTCGGGTTTAAAATGCCTTTTTAGGCAACATTTTAATTTGTAATAAAAGAATTAATCTAAACACCGTTTGGAAAACTAAACTTTTGAGAGCCAACCCACTGAATATTGTTCTTTGGTGCTGTATTATCTCCCTCGTCGTTTTGTTATAGACTAAAAGAAGAGACGTAATTATGGATAGTAAAGGATCCTCTGTTTATTTTATAATATTGTTATTATATCCCCATTTGTCTCAAGCATTTTATCTTCCCGGTCTGGCTCCTGTTAATTACTGTAAAGTTGGGGAATCATCACCTACTTGCAAAGTAAGTTTTAGCATAAGCCTAGCCCTACTTGAATAAGTTATAGGCCTACGGTATATAAATAAAGCCCTACAGGTAAATGCTGGTAACTTCCTAGGTAGAGATTGTCACAGGCACAGGCCTCTAGGCCCAATTTTCAGCCTATTTAATCTAAACAGGAATGGGATTGTATAAGTTAATAGGCCTACCTTAGGCTAGACAGGTCTGATACATGGCCGAACAGTCTCCAGTGTTGTCTTCCTGGCCAAGATACTGCAACGTAGAAATAGGGTTCTAATACGGTCTATTATGGTGTGCAACTCAGGAGTTCTCCTTACTGCTTCTTTTGAAATTTTTACTCAAATCAGGCATTTTGCTAATTTATCAAATTTAGCTAACTTAAGGTGTGCTATTGAAAACTTATGAGGCCTAGGCCTAGTCTAATAATAGTCAAACGCTAAGATGTTCAGTCAGTGATGCAGCAGTTGCATTATATAAGTTAAATAGGTCTGATTGCTATAGTAAAGTAACTTGCCACACTTCTACACTTCAGAAAGCATAGGACTAGGCTACAGTACAATAAGTTATTTCGTTTAACTTAATTTGCTAAGTAAGTTACTTCCCTGCCACTTATTCAGTGGAAGTATTTATCAATGCAAATACTATTAAAGACGTGCCCCTACAGAATGGTTACCGGTACCTGCTCCTTGAGAATATAGTTTCAGAACTTTAAGTGTGGCGTAAATAATCACATAGGTACGTAACTTAATTCATATTCTAGTAAGTTATCCTTGGTTTTAAGTTACATTTGCTTCTGTACTGTATTTTGTTTTAAAAATAAGTTATAGAGACTCTGTGTTTGTTTTCTTGCAGTCTGATGTTGTGCTGTACGTCAACCGACTAAATACTGAAGACTCTGTTATACCTTATGAGTATCACCAGTAAGTACCTATCCTTGAACTTATTTTTTAAATTAAGTTAATAGGTAGATGGTTTACGTTTTGACTATGGCTTGGAAAAGTTTAGTTACCTTACATGACATAGGGCCTAAGTTACATAACATTCAAAAATTAGTTATTGTTATGAATGCTCAAGTAGTTGTCCCTTCCTGGGTGGGCTATTCAAGTTGAATATGAGTAGGCCTACCTATATTATATAGGCCTACTTACTATTTTTTACCATTGAAACATATTAATAGCCTATCGACACTATCTTTGACCAAGTATGTGTAGCCAACAAGTTTTAAAGTCGGTACACTAAATATACCATTTTTTCAGCTTCGACTTCTGTGTGACAGATGAAAGTCATTCTCCGGCTGAAAATCTTGGTCAAGTAGTGTTTGGAGAGAGAATAAGACCATCTCCTTATAAGGTAAAGTCTCCTTAAATATAGTTCCATAAAAATATTGATAATAGTATATAGGTACTTGGTAGAAGGCCTAAGGCATGTTTGCATTTGAGAATTATTTTTTATTAGATTTTATAGGCTATGTTCATTTTTATTTGCGGAAATTAGCCTAGTTTTAATAGGTATGCCCTGGCTGCTGTTACCCGTGCTTCGCAACGGCAAGATGTACTAAGTTAAATACCCGCCTAGGCCTAATCCAAACACTTGTTAAGTACCCTAGTTCGAATTCATAAACAAAAAGCTACCTACCAAATTTATACAAAAAAGTATTTGAACTACCATTGTAATTGTGGGTAAGGTCACCCACCCAAACGCCGAACGATTACCAATTACCGAACGACCTATTTTTAAACTGAAATAATAAGCTTTGTGGTTAAAGCCGTGTAAAAAGACGTATGTCACTGTTTCCGGCGATTATTTTACTCCATACACAAAAAAAAGTAAGTTTTGGAACGTTGGAATTGTTAATTACGAAGGCCGTGGTCAGCTGGTAGGCGGCAGAAGACAGTTCGGCGGCGATCTACTTGTTCTGTCAAGGAGTAAGGAAGGTAAGCCAAACAACGTATATATTGATTAAAATGTATCCAATCAAGCGTTAACCACTTCTAGTATGTTGTAATACATATTTCCTAGTATAATAAATAGTTTTCAAGATGTTTGAGTACAATTTAATAATGATTCGAAGCCGTTCGGAATTAGGCATGCCAAAACAGCGCTGTTCCAAATTCGGAACGAGCGTTCGGGAATAAGGCTTGATAGGCATCCTAATTCCGAACGACCTAATATTTAGCAAATAACGTGGATTTATGAATGCAATTTACTTTAAAACTTGTAAATTTATTGTGATTTACAAATTTGGCATTTATTTTCCAAAACTTTCACTCACTGTAACACAAAATATTCGTATTTATGCATCTTAAACTGTAAACGCATTTGCAACCTACAAACCTACCCAAAGACTTCCTCACACATTGCATCAATAAAATTAATTAATAATTATAATTATCATTAATTATTTATCAAAAGTAAAATAATTAGTTAACGAACCATTTAATGGTTCCTTAACTAATTATTCTAGTTTTGAAGTGAATTGATTATTGTTGTCGGTTCAACAGAAAGATGCCTGCACCAAACCGCCCTACATCGCGGCAGCGGTACACACAGGAGGACGTAAGGAAGGCGCTGGATGCGATCAAGAACAATGGATACTCAATCTCTGCAGCATCCAGAGATTTTCATGTTCCAAAAACCACACTCCATAATAAGCTGACGGGGAAGTATAAAGAAGAAGCTCCTGTGGGACGCCCATCTGTTCTCACCAGGGACGAAGAGGACCTCATTGTGAAATGGGTGTTCGACGTCGCCAAGGCAGGCTTCCCCGTCGTGAAGGAGCAGCTCATCGACAGCGTATCCAAGCTTATTAAGGAACTGAAGAGGCCAAACCCCTTCACGGACAGCGTACCAGGGGAAAAGTGGTACCAGCTGTTCCTTGGTCGCCACCCTGAAGTGGCCAAGAGAGTGACGCAGGCACTAACATCTAGCCGGGCCAACGTCACAGAAGACCAAGTCCGTGGTTGGTTTGAGGAGGTCCGTGACTATCTTCAAAGCAAAGATTTGTTGGATATCTTTGAAGAGCCACAACGAGTATTTAATGCTGACGAATCAGCATTTTACCTGTGCCCCAAGGGTAAAAAAGTGTTGGCCAAAAAAGGGGAGAAGGCCGTGTACACAAAAACCGGCAACGACGAAAAATAATGCCTAACCGTCTTGGTCAATGCAAACGCCGCTGGGCAAATGGCACCACCAATGGTTGTCTACCCATATGAGAGGGTACCAACTACGATTATAAAAAGTTTCCCAGGAGAATGGGGTCTGGGGAAATCTGAGTCAGGATGGATGACGAGGGAGACTTTCTTCGAATACGTCACTAATGTGTTCCATCCTTGGCTCATCTCTGAGAAGGTAAAGTTTCCTGTGCTGATGTTTATTGACGGCCACACATCACATATGAGCAAATATCTTTCAGACTATTGCTCGGAAAATCAAATTGAGGTTGTGGCACTTTATCCTAACTCAACACATCTATTACAGCCTTTGGATGTGGCTGTATTCAAACCCCTAAAGGCCATATGGAAAAAAACTGTAAACCAGTGGCGTTTTTCTAATGACGGGAGAAGGATGAGGAGGGACGAGTTTGCCCCTATGCTACATGACGTGATCTCCAAATTGGATAAAAAAATCATCATCAATGGTTTCAAGGCGACTGGACTTGACAAACTAAATCCTGACTCGGTCCACTATGACCTCATATTGAAGAAGCCGGATTTGAACCACACTACTACATCTCTCGAGAGAAAACAAAGTGAGATTAGGGCTCACTTAAACTTCCTCGAAACCAAGATTGGCCTTGAAAAGGTAAGGAAGTTCGTCACTGAAGATGACATCCAAACCAGGGATGAATCCCTTTTCCAGGTATGGACCGAAATCAGAAGGGAATTGGAGAGTATAGAAGAGTCCATCCTACAGAAAAAACAGCAAGCCCAGAGAAACGGTCCTCCTCCCTCTCCTCCCCATTCCCCCATCGATCCCGATGACCCCGAGTTATCAGTACCTCTTCCCGAGTTTGAAGATTCTCTTCTAGCCAGCCCCGACCACCAACAGATAGAAAACCTTGACCAGCCTTTGTTTGAAGTGGATGATGAAGCTGTCTGCATTGAAGAGGGTCGTGTAATTGCAGATGGGGACGAGTCGTTGGACGACATAGGATTGCAACTCCTCGTTGATGACCTAGGATTTGCCAATCTCGAAACCGGCATGGTTATCGAGATTGGAGTAGAAGAAGTCGAGATTGGAGAAGAAGTAGTGACAAGTCCAACAATCGTATCTGACAATACCCCAACAGACATATTTCACCAGCCATCTACTTCCACGGCACACTATGACCACCTCTATGCCTCCCCAACTGCAAAATTACCATCTACCCCAACTCCTCACAATTCCCCCGAACCTGCAACTTTCTCACCCACACCTTCCTCATCCCATAAACCCATCAACACCCCAGTAAATGTACCACCACCACAACAAACCAATCCATCAACACCTACCAAAACTATGCCCTCTCCATTTAAGCGATGCCTTCCTTACCCATCTCCTACATCCCTAAACAAGAAAAAGAAATCCCGAGATCCCACTCCTGCAGCAATAACTGGGGACAGCTACAAGTTGTACATCAAAGAAAAAGAAGAGAAGAAAAGAAAACTAGACGAAGAGAAAGAGCAAAGGCGACTAATTAGAGAAACAAAGAAAGCTATAAAAAAAGAGAATGTCTCCAGCAAGAAACGCACTGCTAAAAAGATTTGCTTCGAAGAAGAACTGAATTCATCCGAAAGTGAAGACGACCCTTCACCTATTGAGCCCGAAGATCTGGCAAACCTGAGCATCAACAGTTGGGTCGTTGTCCCTTATCTTGTTAAAGGCGAAACAGACTTTTTCCCAGGACAAGTTAAGGCGCTTAAAGACGGATCTGCTAACATCAAATTCCTAACAAGAAAAGGTAACAAATTTGTTTGGCCCGAGGAAGATGATATAGGTGACGTCCTTCTGACTGAAATTGTCCAAATTCTGAGTGCCCCTGTAGTGGAAAGAAGAGGGGTTTTTTCGTTCAAAGATAAAATCATGTCAAAATAAGTTAGTGACTTCAGCACATTGTAAATATTGTATAGGACTGTAAATATTGTAAATATTTTTAGTTGTAAGTTCAATTTTCATTGTATGTACATTAACGTGTCTTTCTTGTTACCTGTAATGTTTATAATCTACTTGTTCAAATATGACTTTTTAAGTGCAATAATTGTCTCAAGACGTGTTTTCAAAGTAGTTATAGGTTGATTTGATTTTATTCTCAAGTATATTTCTTCCATGTGACAGTAATTTTTCAAGTCCATGTTCACATTTAAAACAACACAACTAAGTTATGTCCACATTCCTTTTGTAGCCGCTTGAGCACACACCTCTTGATTTGCTGAAGCCACCCATTGTAAATATGATGTATGTACTTAAATATGGATTTTATATTTGTCTCCAATTTATTTTTTGTCCGAATTTGTAATTCTTTGTATTAGGCCTTTGAAGTTAATCTTTGAAACTTATCTAAACATTATTTTGTATTGTCAAAATAAAAACATACATTCTTGTTCATAACTATTTCTGTAATTATTTTTCCTTCGTACTATATTTAGATGGCAGTGACTTTCAGTTCTGTTCTGACAGTTCAGTTCAGTTCCGATCTAGTTAACGAGTCGTCATCAATGTGGTAATGCAACAGAAGGTCAGTAACTTCATTTTATCTTACAACATCATCATTTTCGTCAATGTTCAACCATTTTAGACTGATTTTAAGGTCGTTCGGTATTGGGAGTCGATCGTTCGGTGTTGGGACATGCGCCGTTCGGTCTTGGGCATTACTCATCCAATCTGTTCGACTTAGATATTGCCGTTTTTATCTGTTTTTATTTTATTTAGTGTATCGTTCATTATATTAAATTGTAGAATATAACTTTGCAAATACATATGAACAAAGTAATTTACCTTTACTCTTAATTAAGTCAGAGAAAAATATGTTTAAATAGCTCAACCACCCTTAACCGTTCGGAATTTGGGTGATTTACCTTACTGTTTTACATCAATAACATTATTTTCATAACTTATAGGCCTACACTTTAATTTAATCAAAAGCAGAGCCTGGGTTGATACAGCAACAGTTATGGAATATTTTTTATTTTGATAATCAATGACTACGTTTTTGAATAAATAATCTATGACAAAGTTTTAGAATAAATTAAACCTACCCCATAGTTGTGAAAAGCCTAATTTGTTTGGATCAGCAGTCTGAAATTGTGAAATAGCCTAAGCATTTGGCAGTTCTGTTTGTTACATTGGTCAACGCAAAGGGAAACATTGTGAATTAGTCACACATTTGCAATAATGATGAAACAGCATTGTATTATTCACAACTGTATCCAATAGACTTCGCACTTACTTACTTCTTACTTAGTACTTACTTTTCTGTCAATTATTGTATCCAGAATTAGAACAGATTAGCAATTTTTTAGTTTTATATCATAAACAAAGAGAAAAAAATATAGACCAACAGCAGTGCTGTGGTTAGCATACCTATGTTCTGGCGTCCACCCCTAGGAGTGCCGTGTAGTTATGGAGCACACCGCTGCAGCGTCTGCTGGTTGCATACGGATCCTTGCCTGCAGCGGTGTGCTCCGTAACTACACGGCACTCCTAATGGCACATCTTGGAACCTTTCTTTGACAGTCTATATTTATTCTATTTGTCTCTTCAAGATAGAATATTTTAACATAGGCCTATTGATATATTTTATTTAAAAAATAAGCTCTAGAAAAAAAAAGCGAACATACTTCAATACTTATTGAAATTAATTAGGAATAGGCCTATTGCTTACTATGGCTTCAACCTTTGACTTAATTTTAATTAGGCATTTTTTTTATTTTGTAAATTTAAGCTGCGCAGAGAATAACAGCAACATTGTTGGATTGGTTTCAAAGAACCTTTGTTGTTCCAGTTGACTTTTTTGAAAAACGAATCCTGCAAACATTTGTGCACCAAGAGTTACAAATTCGGTGACAAAGATGCGGAGTCAAAACTGAACTTGTTGAAGAAAGGAATGCTTCTGAACTACCAGCACCATTGGATTGTGGGTCAGTATTGTGTTTTTATCACAGAGATGCAAAATTCAGTAGGATACAAGCTTTTGGGACAACCGTGCACTTTACCTCTGGTATGTTTGGGCGGAAATGTACTAGATCAAGCAAGGAAGAGGCGAAGGCCACTTATAGAATATTTGTACAGCAATTGTAGCGCACAGGGTCTTCCTTCTGTGTGAGCGCTGTAGTACGTGATGGTGTAGGGTGAAAGGAGAGCGGAAGGGACGACGAATGGAATTTGCTCTAGACACCAGCGACTTGTGCTAGACACCACTTAAGTGTAATATTGAATGTATCCTCTGTGTCTTACAGTACTTTTCTGTGATTTTATGAATGTAATCTTAATCTACCCTAAGCAGCAAATCAAGAACTTATATTCTTACCCCTTCGGAATTTGTAGATTTTATAAATAGACACAACATTTTATATTTCTTGCTAGGGACAAATTCAGATTATTGACGGTCCAGATTTTTGACATCCAATCAATTATCGATGTTCTACTGCAATCATTTAAATTATTTTTTGATAAATTAAACAGAAAGTGTTATAGTGACTAGTAGTTCTCATAGCTTAAATCTCTTTGATTCTCAACCAAATAAATGAACTGCAAGACCATTAGTTTATTTGACCCATTCTATAATTTTAAAAAGAGTAGACCTACTTTTGTATTTAATTTTTTGAATGCTAAATAATTGCTTTTTCCTAAGTGACAACATTTGTTTTTCAATTACGTTACGTTATGTGTTAGAGCCATAACTTGTGACTGCCCACAGACAATATGCCGGTGACTTGGTGTTATCATCTCGACGATGGCCGCCAATACTGCAGTACAGGGTTTCCGATGGGCTGCTACGTCAGGGACCATCGTCACCCTGAAGACATCTGTATGATTAGTGTAAGTTTAAGTTTAATACCTTTTAAAAGGCAAGCAATCTCTTCCTTATTTTTCTCTTTTATTGTTTGTCAACCTAAAACTATAGTGGTTGTGTTATTCTTGATCAAAAGGGCTCTATTTTTTTCCTTGGGTAGGCTGGAAGGGTTAGGCTACTGATTATAGATTCGTGGTCTTTTACCATGTCAAAATTTATGAAACACTTTCATTCACCGACATTTCAGCCTATGGGTCAGAATTTTAATCTCCGATAGGGTGAAAAATGTTTGACTAAGGGTCTCGATCCAAATAACACTGCTTTGGAAAGTACTGATTTAATAAATATTAATTGTAATATTACGATAGAATTAATATTTTGCATAATCTCCCCTATATTGTGGTAAAGCTGTGTCGTGAACATTTTCTGTAGTCACGGCCAAATCAAGAAGATCTGCGGCCACCATAAAATCTTAAACAACTTCTGCGGTTATGGAAAAATATTGATCTTTTTTCCAGGACATAGAAGAATCTAGTACATCTTCTGTGGTCTCAGCGAACTTACTTGTACAAAGACTCTAAGATTTACCTCACTTGAAACAAACAAATTTACGGGAAAAATATCAAACCGGCATAAATTAATAGGAACTATTAAAAATTTCTAAGAGGAAGTTAAAATCTGCTCAACACTAACGGGTACTTCAAAAATATTTAATCTTTAGTGATATGTCTACGGCTCTACTGTATGTGAAAATAAGTGATTGACTGCCGTGAATGATGTTTAAAGTCAAACATGAAGATTCGTAGTCACATCAGATTTTTAAATTCATTAGCATATGGATTAATATAATTTTTTTTGTGAACAATTTGTGATCAAGATGCATTTTGTCAAACACTAACACATTAACATAAAATCATAGTTACACACTTTTGGGTCTATAATTGTTTTGTTTGATTGGAATTGATTTTATCTTGTAACAAGTGGTTGGGTTTGTCCTGAGTTATTATTGCAACATTGTATAGTTTACACAATGGATGGTCTCAAGAGTGTACTCAGTTTTAGATTAGCCTCTGCCCAAATTGATACTAGAAGACTTGTTTTTTGGGATTGGCTAATCACGTATTATTTTTTACAAAAATACTACTTTGGTTTACAATATACTGCAATAGGTTTACAATAATTATTATGTATTTTTAAAACTCGCTCTGGAGTATTTAAGCCAAGAGTTGTAGGTAGAACCAGAATGCCCAAGACACATTTTGTACTACCTATCTATAGATACTGTTGATGATCAGAAAATCTTGGTTAGAAATTAAATTTGTATCTTATGAAACAACTGTTGTGAAACCAAAGATCAGCCTTAAAATGATTTATTCTTGACTAAATTGATGCGGATATAGTTGAATTTAGAAGAGGTTTAATAATGATTACAATACAGTGAATAATAGTAATAACTTGTCTATTATCGTGTGATTTCCAGGTTTTTGATGTTCATAATATTCAATGTAAAAAAATCATGTAGGCTATAACACATAATTCAAATAATAATTTCCAACAAAAATTCAAAACAAATAACACAATACAATCAAACTAAATAAATAATTTAAAATTTGAATTAATTTATAGAAAGCTCTTCAAAAAAAGTTCAAGAGCTAATTCATTTAGGAAACATACGATGCCCGTGATTAATCCTTGAGAAAGAAGACCTCGTTACAGAGTTCTGGCTACAGATAAAAAAAAAACACATTAAATTTTATTCGGCATCTTGTTGTCCTTCTTGTATTATCTTTCGAGCTACCGTACTGTACTGTATGAAAGTTAGCAGTAGTTCAAACAAAACCGATAGAATCTGAAAAGACTTATTAAGGTGAAACTTAACTTTATTTTTTCTGCTAAATCTTCTTATGAGGTGTTCAGATCACAGTGTTAAAAGACACCTTAAATTGAAATGTTAATCACTGGTGTTAGTTACTACTGTTATAGTTAATTAGGCAGAATTAGACTAATTTTTATTTTATTTATTGCAGAAACTGTACAACCAACCCAACACATATTACATCTTCAACCACGTTGACCTGGTGATAACCTATCATAGTGGGGAGGGGGAGGAGTGGGGCAGCACCTTCAGGAGCAATGGAGGACGGATTGTTTGTAAGTAGACACGGTTACGGATTTTTCAAAAGAATACTCCAAGGTGGAATTATTCATTAACATGGAAAATGCAAATTAAAAAAAATGTGTTGTTTAATTAAAGAACATAGTAAAACTTTCTCATCAGTTAATCCTAGTATAGTAATTTTTAGGTTTGTTGGGTGTTACGTTGACTATCAGCGAGCAGATTGTAATTTTGTACCCTTTCTTGTCAGCTGTGAAGGTAACTCCTCGCAGTATAAAACACGAGAGCTCTGACAGACTCAATTGCAACACGAGAGATGCAGCTCCGATGGCAATACCTGACCACAAACTCAAGGATGGTGAGCCGATCGACATTGTCTACTCGTACAGCATCACGTTCGAGGTAAACATCACTCACTAACGGCAACTTACATACAGCTCAGCGTTGTTTCTGGAAAGGGAGTGTTTTTCAGGTTAGGAACACTGCTCAAAAATTTTTACACTACAACGATTCACAAAATATCCCTTTTGTGGCAGTAAATCAGTGATTGACCGGTAATTTGTAACATTATTTTTCCTACAGTCACCCGACAAAGTGGGCTTCCTTGCACAGATTTTAATACAGAAAACTACTAATTGCTGCATTTACTTAGTTTGGCGCACAGTTTTTACTTTGTCGCACACCAGTATACCAACCAAACAACACAAAACAGCTTGCTTTTATTATGCTCGTAACCCGCTTGAAAAGGTTAGCAACACATAAAGATATTACAACTACGATCAGCTGGTGCAGCGTTTCCCATTTCCTTCAATGTTTTAATTTAACCTAACCTAAAAACGAGGTGTTCATTGTTTGAAAGACTAATTATTTATATGATTTATAGTTGCTGAAGAAAAATATCATGTGTAACATGATTGCAAACTGCCTTTGCTGCACTAATTTAACATAACCTAAAAACGAGGTGTTCATTGTTTGAAAGACTAATTATTTATATGATTTATAGTTACTGAAGAAAAATATCATGTGTAACATGATTGCAAACTGCCTTTGCTGCAACATTTCTCTCGTGTGCAGCAAAGTGCCACTTTGTCCACTAGTTACACAAATTACTATTGGGAGTTTTTACATCATTTCACTATTCATTACATTCTAAACATACACCCTGTTTGAACCACCCTGTCTGAATAGATTAGAAATAGTATCAAGTTGTTCTCATATGAGGAAGTAAATATTTTTTAAACTTGTTTTTCACACTGATTCTGTTATGGCTCTCTGTAGAAGAACAACACAGTGAAGTGGTCGTCTCGCTGGGACTATATCTTGGAGTCGATGCCGCAGACCAACATCCACTGGTTCAGCATCCTCAACTCCCTCATGATCGTGCTGTTCCTGTCTGGTATGGTGGCTATGATCATCCTGCGGACGCTACACAAGGACATCGCCAGGTACAACCAGGTAAGGTAAACAGGCTTTAGGATGCTCAGGATAGGTTAATCAGTCCTAGGATTTAAAAGCTAAGGGTCAGTCATAAAAGATGTTGGCGGTGTTTGGAAAAGCAATCCTGCATCAGCCCTGAGACTTTAAATGATTTCAGTTAGCTAAGTTAAATTACTCTTTACAGGTATATTTATTTGTACTTTTAGTCTGTAACCAAACTAATCTCATAAAAATTTGCCTTTTGAAGGAAAAAAGTTGAAGACAATAACTTTTTAATGTATTCATAGGGACTTATTAACTATATTCATATCGACATAATAGCATTTTGAAAATGGATTTTGATAAGAATTATGACAAATCAACTTACAATATGACATCCATTCACTAATAGAAAAACTAGACTCAAATAAGCTTGAGGCTTGAGTTTTTTTTCCTAAAACCTTAGTTTCCCACACCTTTAAGACAAATATTAGGGTGCACGACATCATCACATCTAAAATTACAATACTTTAAGAGACAGATTTTGTATTTAATTTATTTTCATTATATCTCTTCAGTAATTGCTACTACTGATTGGTAGAAATAGTTCAATCCTTATAGTAAATGCTGTGAGATTAACCAATAATCAATCGTTATTGGTTGTCGATTCTTGATGGCTAAAACCTCCAGTGCTTCTACTACATTTATATGAAACCTTGTAGGATTTAAGCTCAGCTCAAACTCTGCATTTCAGCTCTTCATTGATGTTGCCTCCTATTTTACCTACAAACTGACCTACACACTCACTCTACAGTTAGCTTAAGCCTAGCTAGAGCAAGGATATCAAATGGACAACTCAATTATTTCAAACAAATACTAGGGTTGCTTTCAGAGAGGTGAAAGCCAGTTAGGCGGAGCAAACGTGATTTGATATTTGTATAGTTTTGCTATGGTCAAAGGTCCAAATCCAAATGTTCTTTTCATTTGGTTTTTATGTAGTAATTTGCTAGAATCATTGACTTTATATAAAGTCAATGCTAGAATACTGTAGATGACCATAATGCAATCATTTTTGAAATCGTTTCACTGTTTAACCAACTATTCCAAAAGATAAAAATGATATGGTGCAACACAAATAAACAACCCGATCACCTATCTATAACCTACACTTTACCTTCCTAATCTAACCTTACTTCAAAACACTTAATGTAGTCACGAATACTCATAAACCCCGACCTACCTTCCCCACATGCCTAAATTAGATCAGTGTTCAATCTGCGTTTTATTAATAAGTGTAATAACTAACTTACTGCACCGTCGATGTAATTCAACATAATATAACCTGTGAGGTATTATCGGATTAAATATCGATTTCGATGCGGTTCGATATATCGCTTATTAAATCCTGATTTCTAACATTGGCTGTTTCTAATCAGCTGGCAACAGTGGCAACAGAAATAGGTTCCCAAGAAAGTAGTCACCGGTCCGTATCCCTCCGCTCCTTGTTTATGCTCCGCGCATTGAGAAATTAGTTCCGTATATTTTCTCAACTTTCAGTGAATTCCGCGCCTTAAAAAAAGTTTTAACGGCATTCTCTTGTTTATTACAGTCATAGGAATGGTTTAAAAACGTTTAAAAGAAAAGTCTAGAAAGTTCAGAAATACCTTATGATTCTCTTGTTTACATTTTTATTGTAAACAAAAAAACTGTCATGGCTACTTTAGCCCCATAAACCTAATGTTAAATATTGGAAATTTTAAGTTCGTTTTAAATTGCATAAGCATTATCTAATTGAAATTTGTATGTTTAAAAACCATCTCACTATTAGTCTAAGTAATTTTGTTAAGTTTGGCTGAAATGAGTTCAGCCGTTATTGAGTGATGTTTCTCTATTTGTTGCATTGAAGTTGATCCCAAAGAGCTTCGCTCGCTCCGCTCAATAAACTTACCATCATCGCTAATGAAAAATTAAAAAATTAATGAGAATGTAAACTAGACAATAAGTAACAGTAAATTCCAATAAATGAAATTCAAATGAACATTATGGAACTGGTTCTATCAGTAAGATTGAACCGTCACAAATATCTTCTAAATGAGTTGAAGTCTTCTTCGATGCTGCTCGATAGTAGAGAGGTTACATTTAGACTCTTAATTAAAGTTTTGACATCTAGATAAAATAATTCTTTTGGCTGGTTTTTGCTATTAAGTCAATAGATTGTAAAACTGTCAACAGTGCCATTGATACCAAAATCAGATGATTTTAAAATAGTTTCCTTTCGAGTCGTTATCAAATTGTCTTGTTTGTAAAGAGAGAATATGCAAATATATTACAACACGGTTTCTTCAAGGGGAATTCAATTGTAAATCCATTTAACTTGAGAACACTATATGTCTGCTAGGACCTCGACAATATCCATACACAAGTTGTTGATTATGTAACTTAAGTGTTTTCTATAAAGATTGTGCTCTGGAAGATTAAAATCACCTTCATTTCATTGTTGTTATTTTCAGTATGTTTCATTCTTGGGGTGTGAAGCAAATTATTCTTTCTACCCTATGTTGCCTTTGGTTAGTACAAGTCTTCTAAAGAGTTCTCTGTGGTTGTGTTTTGTTTTGGTTTTCTCAAGCTTGGAAGGTGAAAGTTTTGTCCTTCTGTAAAAAGTTTGTTTAGGGCTTCTAAGGTTGATGGTTATTTGAAGAAGTCTAGTGAGTGTGCCTGGTAAGAATCGGTTTTTAGATGTACACACTGCTTTGTTAGATTATTTTGTTGGATTTTTTCAACACACTTTTCTTAGATTTACTTACGATCATCCATATGTAAATCCCAAAGTACCCATGAAATTTTGAGAAAACTACAAGTCACACCCCCATCAACCATATACTCAAAATGATTATCATGGCGAGAAACCTTGCGCAAAACTATCCATTATTTCATATATTGCCCTTTAAGGTATAATTCCTTTTTAAAGGGAACATTCCATATACCAAATGTTAAAAATACCTCAGCTGTACTTATTTGTTTGTATTACTGTATTCTGTTTTGTTTATTTCAGCTTAACTTAACTAATCAATAGTTTTATTAAAACTTATGAAGTCAAACAGGTTGAAGCCCGTGGGTAACAGCTAGTTTACCTCTAAATTCTAATATTTACTAGGGTTTTTCTATTAATGGAGCCAAAAGTAAATGTCATATAAAAATTTCAGGGTGACTTGGTTTAAGGACTTTAAAGACTGGTTAATTTTTGCGTTTTTGTCTTCCCTTAACCCATACATACATTGTAGACCTCCCAAAACTGAATACAATAATATAAGATCCTACGTCATGAGTTATGTCAAAAAACACTATTAAATAGAGGTACTTTTAACCCTCCTTTTAAGCACATACCGACTCCATCAGTCCATCAGACTCAATGCTCTGTGGGTTTTAGAAACAAAAAATCTGATTCCTGATTGTGTTATGATTTGTTAAATTACTCTTGACGCCATTCCTGTATCTATGTATTGTACTTTAATGAATAAAGTTATATGAAATGAAATGATAATTTATAAACTTGGCTGAAGGAGTCTTTCGGGCATGCAATTTGCACTTTTAATTTAATTTCAAATATCTTTTTTTTTCAATAATTGTATTATATATTTTTCAATACCGGTAATTGAATTGTGTCTATATTCTTAACTTAGTAAATGTAGTTGTTATAGACAAAAATTACTTTTAAAATTCACTGTTTGTTGGGCTTCATTGGATAACAAATGGAACTGGCAAAAACAAAGTTTCCAAAGCATATGAGCTTAAAAGTCTTAAAACAGTTAAAACATATTTTAAAAATTCAAACAGATTGTGTTTTTGGCCTCTGGCGGCATAAAAACAAAAAAGTAAATTGGTCCCAGGTTTGTTATCATGAGACATAATAGCTTTAGCTTATTCCCTATCTGGGAAATAGGCTAGTAATATACATTGCTCTTTAAAATTTGTTTAACTTAAGTTATCTGCATAAAACTTGCTTTAAACAATAATTGTATCCTTGCTATTATATCTGTCAAGACAAGACTTATGGAATTCTTAAGTTTGCTCAACTTAAGCATTTTGTCCTGATCCAATGTAATGTTTACTTTGTTTCAGATTGATTCTGGGGAAGACGTGCAGGAGGAGTTTGGCTGGAAGCTGGTCCACGGAGATGTGTTCCGTCCCCCCAGGAAGGGAATGTTGCTCTCTGTGTTCCTGGGCTCTGGCATCCAGGTGTTCTTCATGACTCTTGTCACTCTAGGTATTTGTTACTTATTGTGTTCCTCTGCTTGATTTTGTTAAGTTCATACATGTTTACAAGGTTTGTTTTTTCTCTTGCAGACGCATTAATTCAATTTAAATGATAAAAATCATGAAGTACCTCAATTCACTGACTTGAGGAAAAAGTAAAATGTGAAGGAGTGTTTTGCGGGTCAGAAACTGCCATTTGAAATACATGGATTATGCACACTCCAAACTGCATGTTGAACGAGGAACGGAGTATAATCCTGCAACTGCCAAACTAAACTGAACTATTACTCTCCGAACAGCCGTCGCCGAAACTAAAGTAGACAGGTCTATTTAAGTGTGAATGGTATCTGTCTAAACAAACATACATTTTAACTGGGAAACAGATGGACTTACACTAACATATGTAAGTTACAAGCTCAATTATTGTTCCACAGTGTTTGCCTGCCTGGGATTCCTGTCGCCAGCCAACCGAGGAGCTCTGATGACTTGTGCAATGGTCCTCTACGTCTGTCTGGGTACTCCGGCAGGCTACGTGTCTGCCAGGGTCTACAAGAGTTTCGGCGGAGAGAAGTGGAAGTCTAACGTTTTGCTGACCTCTATGCTTACACCAGGGTAGGTCTGTTTTGTTTAAGGGCTCCAGGATAGGATTTTGGTTTTTGGATGAAAATGAGCAGCTAGCTTAACTCGGAAAAATCCCGGGTAGAGCCTAAAAGAAAGAACATTTTGTTCTCTTTGTGTGTTTCATGTGTTTTCTGTCTTCATTCTTTATTTTAGTTTATGTTTTTTTAACACCAGTTGAATATGAAAGTGTTTTCTTAGGGAATGTTCCAAAACCCTTGTCTTAAAGTTTGTTTGTACTATGGCCTACTTGGACTATGTGTATTTTTCAACTTTCCCTTGTTTTTGTTTTGTTTTTTTTTATTCGTCAAAGGTAGACTAGATATAGAACCACTGCATGTTTCTATACCTGTATGCATAAGATTGTTCTTAATTAAAGTTTTCACTAAATGTTTGCAACTGCTCCTTATCTCATCATTGTATCACTAATGTTTCAAAACAATACAAGTCTTTGTCAAGTCGTAAAATTCTGCGTTTTATATTTTAATTCAAATTCATCTAATTGGTTTTCTTTACACAATTTTAAACTAATATAGGTTTAGATTACCTTGTTTGCCGCCAAAACGACTTGGTGGTAGTCTGGTAGTATGACGACTACAATTTTAAACATAAACAGATTACTAAACAGAAGTTATCAACATCAACCGTATGCCAAGTTAGAGGTCAAAGACCTGTTTACAAATTTTGAAACTTTTTGTCATAAACTCTGTTATAAATGTGTTATACAACAAGTTTACCACTTCCTTTGGAAAACCAAATTTCTAATATAAGCAATGAAAAACTGTTAAAACATTTGAAAAAAACTATCGTTTTTTGGATTGTTGTGAAGTTTTAATCTCATAAAACATTAAGCATTCAATCAAGTGACACCTAAACTATGCGGTTTAAATTTTGTCTAAGTTTGACTAAGACTATTATGTTCAATTGATTGCAGGATCGTGTTCATGTTGTTCTTCATCATGAACCTGGTCCTGTGGAGCAAGGACAGTTCTGCTGCTGTACCGTTCTCCACGCTCGTAGCTCTGCTGTCACTTTGGTTCTGTGTATCTGTTCCCCTCACATTCATCGGATCTTTCTTCGGATTCAGAAAGAGGGTGAGTTATCTAGAATATTGGTTAAAAAATAATACTGGTTAAGTTCATATTACTTAAAAATGTTCTTTTATTAAGTGACAATGTCACATCGTATTTGGCTTTGCCAGAATAACACGAGAAACGGTTCCAGGCAAGTTTATGATATAAAATTGTCATCAAGTAATCACACTAAAAGGTAAACACAATCCTCCCACTATAGAAAAACATAAGAGTATCAAAAGTTTTTTTTTTTTTTTTAACTATGAAAAATAATAATTTCCAGCTTGTTTGTTGTCAATAATGATGGACCAATGTTTTGTTGAAAATTGTAATTCATGTGTAAATTCAGTGGGAATTTTAGCGAATTTCCCTATAGGGAAGTAGCTATTACCGTAGGTCTCATGGTAAGACCTAGGCCCGGGACCGATTTACTTTTTCATTTTGATGTCCCCAGAGGCCAAAAACCCCATTCGTTCAAATTTTTATATATCTATATATAGAGATATATATATATATATATTTTGTTATTGTATACATCAATGAGGGCTACTTTAAATGTTACTAAGCAAATCAAAATACCACAGTACCCTAAAAACATTTTATTTTATATTACTTACATGTTTCGGACATTAATGCCATGATCACAGTATAGTATATAACCTATTAGTTTCTTTTATTTACAAACATTATTAGATATTTCTTATTAAAGAACAGGTGATAATTTTTATAAGTGCGTGGAACAAGCAACATATTACCTAGTAATCTTTCACTTCCGGAGACCAGCACCATACTTTGGGAATCGACTAAATACATGTAAAAGAGTGAAAATCAGCCGGGAGGCAAGCTTTAAAATAATTAGGTCACGGGCAGTGACGTCATCAAAATGGCCGCTCAGCCAATAATAATAATTCCGCATATCTCGGAAACCGCGTAACCGATTTTGACGCATGACATCTTATTTGAAAGGTCTAATTATTATCTATGAAAAAGGTTATTACACCTTTAGCGGTTAAACCAACGGTTTCTTTGTATTTTAGAAAATATTAAATTTTTACGCCCCACAAAATGGGTTTTTTGGATTTATCATTTGAAAAAATTAAAATAATCAAAATTTACTTCCCACCGTTGAATCCAGCTTTAAAAGATGAACAATTTAGTATTTTGAATCATACTATGTATACTGGTTACCGAGATATTGAAAGTAGTAAACACAGAACACTCTGTCCCCCATGTTATCCTTACGGGAAAAATAACATTCTATATCTCAGTTATTTTTTAACGTATCTTAATACAACTTGGTATGTGGTTTCACCTAGTTGAGCTACTTGATAATGACTATAAAATATTTATATTTTACATTTACATGGCAGCAAACCTACATACTCATTTCCCATGTTATTCGTATCGCGAATTTTTATGCATGATTATTTATGAACATTGTAGGCCTACTGTACTTTCTCAGGTTATGTTGACAAAACTTGACGTTGAGCTTAATTTTAATAAATTATCTAAGCAATTTGAAATTCACTGAGTATGCAGGTCAACTGCAACGGGGGTTTTATAAATATTAGTAATTTTATTTTGGGAAATATTTTTTTCCTGGATTGGTCAGACTAAGAGATCTGATGGCAATTTGTCGCAATTGTTGAACAAGAAACGTGATAAAATCCTTACGTGTTGTTTTTGTTTCTTTTGAGTTTACATTTTTCTAGTAATTTTCATATAGGGTTTGACGTCTTTTGTGCTTCTTAAAACATAGTTATTGATCGTCTAGAATTAAAGTGGTTACCTAAAGAATATACAGAAAAATATATATACTAATATTCATAGTATTTTTTTTTTTGTAAAAACCTTGTGGGCTTTTCAAAACATAGTTATGGATTGTTTTTGTGGCTACCCTACCTGAGGAGTAGTATGCATTTCAGGCTTTGGACTGTGGATTCCTCACTTAAACATATTATTACATAGCATTAGACTGTTTATTTAATCTTTGTATTTAACTGAAGAATAGTATGAAATAGGGCTTGGCGTCTCTGTTATTTCCCTTTAACAAATAAAAAAAATGTATTATATATTTATTGTATATAATACGCGAAGCCGTTTTTGTTAACACTACTCCTCCCTTATTTGTAGGCCAATTTAAACGTTTGAGGTGTCAAAAGATTCGTCTCAATTTCTAAGAAAAAAACCACGCCTTGATATTATATGCTTGGATGAGAATCTCCCCCAGACAAATTCCGAAATAATTCAGACGGAGGCAGGAACTATTTCAAGACAAGATTAAGTTGCACTCCATTTGATATAAAATCCACCTGCAAAATACTAAAAACTTGCATAATCAGGGAATTTAAAATTCTTCGATAATTAATTAAAATTACGCTTAACGTCAAGTTTTGACAGCATATGTTGTAATGAAGTGTTGAGGAAGCCCAAGGTTGGGTAATGTAATATGGGCTAAAACACCAAAGCACCGAGGAATGGTGCTCAGTCCCTGTACTAGAGGCGTGTTGAGCCCGGTACACACTGCACTAGAGGCGTCTTGAGCCCGGTGCAGCTGTTTGGCGTGTTGAGCCCCGGCATCTGTTTTATTTCAGTTTAAGTCCCCGGTAGCCAAAAAAGCTGCCTCCCGGGACCATGGATCCGTCTGGAGGAGGATGAAGAGGCCCACCTCCACTATTTAAGAAGAGAAAGAGTTGTCTGGGAGAGACGGCAGTCTGCATCTGCCAACGGAACGCGTAACACCGACGGTAGCAGCTGCATTTAAGATAGTAACCCACTCAGCATTTTCCGAGACGGAGCTAGTTGGAGGACTTCAGGAGCCGTGTCGATAGGACCTCTGTGAGTCGCTACGACGGGACAGCGTCAGGAAGGAGAACCGACGTGAGGAACCCAGGACAGCAAAACGGGACAGAGGGGTCTCAAGCCGATCGACCATGACGTCAAGGGACCGCCTAATAGATTGCCCTGGTCTATGGGGTTTCGAAGTAGAAGTCATTTGTCAATAGTTTTTGTAAACAGTTCTGAGAATAATAAATGTATCATAATTCCTACAAGTGTTCAGTCAATCTGTGTCCTGAAAACTCCCGAAAAGGTCTAAAGCTGTAAAGTAAGGAAAAGCTGAGAAAGCACAATACTATGTTCATAAATAATCATGCATAAATTCGCCATATGAATAACATGGGAAATGAGTATGTAGGTTTGCTGCCATGTAAATGTAAAATATAAATATTTTATAGTCATTATCGTAGCTCAACTAGGTGAAACCACATACCAAGTTGTATTAAGATACGTTAAAAAATAACTGAGATATAGAATGTTATTTTTCCCATAAGGATAACATGGGGAACAGAGTGTTCTGTGTTTACTACTTTCAATATCTCGGTAACCAGTATACATAGAGCGATGATTCAAAATACTAAATTGTTCATCTTTTAAAGCTGAATTCAACGGCGGGAGGTAAATTTTGATTATTTTAATTTTTCCAAATGATAAATCCAAAAAACCCATTTTGTGGGGCGTAAAAATTTAATATTTTCTAAAATACAAAGAAACCGTTGGTTTAACCGCTAAAGGTGTAATAACCTTTTTCATAGATAATAATTAGACCTTTCAAATAAGATGTCATGCGTCAAAATCGGTTACGCGGTTTCCGAGATATGCGGCATTATTATTATTGGCTGAGCGGCCATTTTGATGACGTCACTGCCCGTGACGTAATTGTTTTAAAGCTTGCCTCCCGGCTGTTTTTCACTCTTTTACATGTATTAAGTCGATTCCCAAAGTATGGTGCTGGTCTCCGGAAGTGAAAGATTTTTACACTTGTTCCACACACTGTACTGTGGTATTTTGATTTGCTTAGTAATATATATATATATATATATGTGTCCATCCGCACGATAACTTGAGTAATTTTTGTCCGACATTGATAAAATTTGGTTTGTAGGTGTAAGGCGGGATAAACTTGAACGAGTTCGCGAACCAGCATGATCGGACTATGGGAACGGGGGTTTACGGGGGGTTTTATGGGGTAAAAATAGGTTTTTCCCATTTTTGACCCAAAAAACATAAAATTTTGCAAAATCTTTTCAAACCATTTTGTAGAGCTTAAAAAAACAAATAATTTAGTATATTGAAGTGTTACTATGCGCCTAATGGTTACGGAGAAAATTCCAAAAAAATGAAATTTTTTAATTCCCATGTTATTCTTATGGAGAATAAGTAAACTGTTGTAGTTTGCTTGTTTATGAACATATTTTGATCATATTTGGAAAATGTTTTAATTTCTTACTAATTATAAACATTTTACAAAAAAAAAAACAGTTTTACCCTCCCTGATGCAGCAAACCTAAGTACCTGTTAAACTAATTACTATTTAAATAGGAAATAAATGTTACATTTTTAAGTAGACATTTTAGTGTAAATCCAATCAGACATATGGAAATTCGCTTAGTCTGCAGGTTTGCTGCGGCGGGGGTATTACTTTCATAACTGTAGCCCTAGGAAAGTTATTGACGTGCCTCAAAATTAAGTGGATATACCTAATTTGTGCACAACCAAAGTCTGTGTTAACTGTTATTTCTGTAAACATCTAAGAGTTTTATAGCTGACGAAGACTCAATGGACTTTGTTTGCAGGCTATTGAACATCCTGTTAGGACTAACCAGATTCCCCGTCAAATCCCGGACCAGAGTGTCTACACACAACCCATCCCTGGTATCATCATGGGTGGTGTGTTGCCCTTTGGGTGTATCTTCATACAACTCTTCTTCATCTTGAACTCCATCTGGTAGGTGGCTCAAAGAAACAATGCTTGCTAAAGTTGGGATAGTGAATAAGGGGCAAACGTTTCAGGTGAAGGGACTTTTGAATAGCAGATTTATTGGAATACTTACAAACACTGATGATTATTTTATTTGAGAAAAGTAAATCTTTTTACGCCACACTACATTATTTTGATGAACTTCCCACGCAAGGTAAACAAGGTACATGGCAAACAAGATTAGTAATACTCTGGTCAACATTATTGCAATATTCTGTACCAATCCTAATCAATTGTAATGTCTCCCTATTTGTAAACAAATACGTTGATTATGCTTGTCAAAACAAGAGATTGACTTATCAGCTGTTCAGCACTCTTTTTGAACGACTTTTCCACATGGAGCATACAAATATTACCATGAACTGCTATAAATTGGTAGTAAATTAGTCTTGATTGTGAGAAGAAATAATTGTAGATTACAGGATAAACAAATAACTAAGTTTTACAGTAGGACTTTTTCATTTCATTTTTCTAGCAAATTTGTTTGGGCGTCAAATACAGGAGAGGCTGCTGTAGAAATTAATCTCATTAGGGTACTATTATCAGCAAGTTGATATTTTAAACCCTTTACATTTCATTTTGAATGTTCCAGGTCAAATCAGATGTACTACATGTTCGGCTTCTTGTTTCTGGTGTTTGTTATCTTGGTGATAACATGTTCTGAAACTACAATACTGCTTTGCTACTTCCATTTGTGTGCTGAGGTGAGTGTTTAATAACAAGCATTAAAATAAAAATGCTTAGACAGAGATGTTTAGACTAATTATACATACATTATACAATTATTAAGAATTAAGTTAGGGTTTAAAGTTGCAAATCTTTGACCGTAACAAAAGCAGGTTGCGAGAAAAAAATAGTTGTTGGAAATACAATCCAACCCCGTTTTAAGAATAAGTTTATTATCTTTTTATATCCGAAACTATCGCTGGATGCTTTATCTAATTCCCACTATATTTGGTAGTATGGATGTTAATACAATGATCTGAAACGTCTAATATTAACAACAACAACTAACATTAACAAAGTTCTACAAAAATAAATGCTATGCAAATAGGTTTTTACGTGACATTATTCCTTACATACAAGTGTTTTCTGGCCCAAATATTTTTTAGTTCTTGTACCTAATTTAAAATCTTAATTCTAAGGACACAGCACGTAGCATGTAAAACATAAGCTAGATAACAAGATCAGATGTCAAACTCCCTGATATACAAACATGCTATTGAATAAATATAATGATCTAGTTTGAAATGTGCCTAAAGTTAAAGTAACGTTTGCACCTAAATCGTGACTTCTTAAGTCAACCAGTAACAACTGTAGACGAGTTAGTTTTAGGTGACCTTTTTTGTCACGATTGCTATTGGCAGAATAGCAGAATTGATTGAACCAATGATTTTTATTGTGTTTATTGATTCACAACTTGTTTTTGTGGTTGTCAGGACTATCATTGGTGGTGGAGAAGTTTCCTGACCAGTGGTTTCACGGCCGTCTACCTCTTTCTCTACTGCGTCCACTACTTCGTCACCAAACTGAACATAGAAGATGCAGCGTCTACTTTCCTCTACTTCGGATACACTTTCATCATGGTTTTTCTCTTCTTCCTCTTGACAGGTGAGATGTTTTTGTATTTTTCTACGTCATGGCATTTTTTCCCTTTTAGGCAAAACTCCGAATTCTGGTCCTGTTACTGTCCAATAGTACCCACTTGTTACTTTACTTACTTTAATACTTTCTTATGAAATGGGGACCATACAAATGTAGGTATTTTTAGCCAAGTATGATTGGAGATAAGTGTAGGATAGCATCATTAATCGGTGCCCAGTAGTGCAGTGGGGCAGAAACACTGTTCCCACTTTTTTCCAGAGAACCTATATGTTGGTAAGCGAACCGTATTTTTTCGCGACAATAGTGGCATTCCCGCGCTGAAAAACTTAGATCCAAACCACTGAACGAACATTTGGGTGCAGAATCGATCACACTCAGGAACTAACCAGCAATCTTCAGATTTGATGGTGAGAACAAAGCCGTTTTTAACACCAAAGCTTAAACGATTCTGAACTGGAAATTCTGTGCCAAGGGTGTAAATCATTATAAGCACATTGTTAGTACCTATACTTACTGAAGAAACTGAAACAAAAACTGAGGATTTGAATAACATGGTGGCCACAGATCAAGAATTTTGGGAATCCCAGAATGATGTGTGAATTTGAAAATTTGACTAGGAAAACCTGATTTCTATGTCATTATTTTTTTAAACGGATTCAAGATGAATTTAGAAGGGTTTAACACCCAGCGATATGTACTGTATTTTCTTGAGCAAAGCTCATGAAACTCCACTAGTGCAAAGTTTATATAGTCAATAGTACGAGTGCACTGTTTAAACATCACAAATATTGTATACGGTGTTGTCAAAAATTGTGAACATCTTCCAGGATCGTTAAAAAATGTAGCACTTCTTCTGTGGTGATGACGAAATTGAGAACATTTTCTTTTGTCACTACAAAATTAAAAACATCTTCCTTGGTCTCGGTGACATCATCGACTCCCGGGATCACGGCAAACCGTACACATCACCCAGGATCGTGAAAAAATTGTCAATTTAATCAGGCATCTTCACAAGTGCTTTCCGCTATTGCAGAATTATACGCTCGGCCCTGCTCTACTCCTATTAGAGTTTGGCCAGATAATGTATCCTCGACCCAAACCGATCCCACGGGCCAACCGTTGGCCCGACCCAACCCAAAAATATCGAAACTTGTAGACCCCTAGTAAAAAGGTAGGCCTTCACTTGGAAACGATTTTGCTGCTGGGAAAATGTGGGAAAAAGTCTGAATTTTTTCCAAGAGCTCTGTGGTCACCCTGAATAACTTCTATCACCGTAAAATATTACAACTTGCAAGTATAGTGAGGCGCTAGTGGGTAAAGGTATGTGAGTAAACCAATACTCACCTAGATAGTGGGTAGCCATAAAATTACGTACTCCAACAAAATATTCTTCTTCTATAAAGGGCAACTAGAATTTAGTTCTATCTTAGTTTTTTATTTGACCATTACTTCATCATTGTGTCTCTTGATTTCTGACTGCTAACAACTGGTTTACTTGCAGGTTCCATCGGTTTCTTCGCTTGTTTTTGGTTCGTCCGCAAGATTTACAGTGTTGTCAAGGTGGATTGAAGTGCCTAACAAAGACTATTTTACCACCCCTCTATAAACTTGTGTACATAGTTGTGTGAAGTGGATCATCAGGTATGGCTGTAAATATGTTTCATCAGTGATGCCCCGAAAGATCATCTTAATGGCAAATAGCCATTCCTGCTAGTGATAAGCAATTATCTTCATCGAGTAGATCAGCTTTTTATATTTAAAGACAGATCAAATTTGTACATGATAAGTTACAAAGGTTTTGAATTACACTTTGTGGGGAATCATATTGAATACTAGTAAAGTTCATCCTCGAAGTAAAGTAGAATTGTAAAATATAGATTTTATAGTCATGAATTTACAATGCAGTATTGTTGAGTTAGTGTAAATTTTAGAGTTCTAATTATATTTCTGCACTATTGGAATATATAAGTTATATCAAATTATTGATTTTTTCAAACTAATCAAATCAAGTACTTTGCATTTCACTTTTCAATGCTACATTTGCCATAGTTATCTAATGTAACAATATTATGTTCATTATGTGTTTGATTATAAAGATGTTGATTGGTTGAGATGATTGGTTTCAATTGTTTATAAATACTTGTGAATGTAAAGTTTAACAACATAAGTGAAATAAAGCATAGAAAATAATGATCGTAACAAAATGATTATAAAAAAAATTATTCCATTTAAAAGAGTGATTGATTGATTAAAATTAATTGTTGTGTTTAATTTTTAACCCAAACAGGACAAAGCTTGGGTTTTAGCACAAAATTTCTCTATTTTATTTCATGTCATAAGCGTCAGTAACTGGTCTCTAATATAATTTATCTTTTTAAGTTATAAAATAACGTATTAATTTTTGCTAAAGTAGAATGTCTTATTTATCTTTTTAGGTTTATTCATCCATCATTCCTTTTAAAGCTAGGCCATTTTGATCATGGTTTTCTAACCATTATTCTACAGTTGTAAATGCAATTTCTTACAATCTAATCATTATAGTTATGTTTTGAGATGTATCAAGCATATGTGTGATAATTATCATGTAGCCGTGGTTGATTTTGTAAAAACTAAACAATATACATTTTACAGTACCAACACATTTTATTTTACCCCAATCTGTGAGCTGATCATAAGTTGATTAAGCCTCATTCTCACGACGAACAGTTTGTTAAATCTCCTAAAGTGGCTAACATTTTAGTTAGTTTAATTCAAACTCAAATTCTTGATTAGCTAAAAGATTCTTGATTACATCGAAGTAACATCTAGATGTAAAGGAGATTCGTCAAGATGAGTTACCAGATTGGTGTTCCTTCATGAAATTTTAAGGGTAGTTTTTAAGAATTTACAGGACGATAAATTTATTTTACTTTAATACTGATATTTTAGAATTTGGTTTTTAATTAGTTTTATTATGATAAAAAAAATTTATAAAATATCAAAAAATATAAAATATCAGTAACAAAGTAAAATAAATTTATCGTCCTGTCAATTCTTAAAAACTACCCTTAAAATTTCATGAAGGAACACCAATCTGGTTTGTAACAGGAAAATATCCACTACATTTATGATTTTAACAACAAAAATCAACTAAAAACGAATTATTTTTCACATTGCCTACCTTTAACAAAAATTTTTTTTCATGTTACTTTGACTGTAGTCCATACACAGAGGCAAATTCTGTTTGGAAGCAATACCTAATCATTTCAGCCCAAAAGTTCCCTCAGTTAAAAATCCCTTCAGCAAAAAAGCTAGTTATTTTCCTCCCTTGATTCACAAATTAGCATATTATCTTATAAAATTGTCTTCTTGGATTATCACAAAACCACTTTTTTACAAGTTTAAGGAACTAAATCAGTTTTTACCTCCTTCACGATATTCCCGACTCCCTAAAATAATTGAGTTGCATATTTGTTGTGAGAAACTGGGACTTGTAGATCGTAAATCAGAGTTCTGTCTCGTTGGATTTACGACGTGGTGAGGACCTGATGCTAAATGTAAACACAAGTATGAACCCAAGCTCAGAACCCGTGCATGAATGCAAACAAACTACAATGTGTACAGCTGTGCTGCCAAGTATGTTGTAAGAGACACAATCTCAGACTAGAAAATGCAAATAACAGTTTTAGTGTTAACAATCAGTGCTTGAATACTGATGTGGTATGCGATGTGAACAGTTATTACTAGTTTAGAATTTCAAAATGTTTTCAGTCAGTCTTGTATTTTAGCAAATTTCCCATATAGGGAATTTTATTGTAGGTCCCATGGTAATACCTGGACCAGAAAGCAATTACGTTTTTGTTTTGATGTCCCTGGATGCCAAAATGAATACAATACCCATTCAAATTCATTTTTAATATTTGTCCATTAGCCCTATAACTTAAGTAAAAAAAATCATTGGATTTTTATGAAATCTGCTGCAAAGTTTATTCCAAGGATTTTGCAAACCAGTATGATTAAACTAAGGACAGGGTTTTATAAGATAAAATTGGTTTTTACATTTTTGACACTCAAAACATAACATTAAATAACCCAATTTCTCTTCAAACCATTTTTTAGAGCTTAAAAATCAAATTATTTAGTACTTTTGAAGTGTTCTTGTACCGGTTTTTTGGTTAGGCCTACAGAGAAATTAAAAAAATTGTAAATTTAAAATTCCTGTGTTATTCTTATTGAGAATAAGTAAAATGTTGTCGTTTGCTTGTTTATGGATATATTTTGATCAAGCTTGGCAAATCTATTTTATACTAAGCTATTAATATTTTACCAAAAAACACTTAATTACCCTCCATAATGTAGTGATCAAACCTTGGTACTCGTTAAACCTAATGTTATTTAAATAGATTTAACTGAAAATCCAATCAGGTAATTCGCTTAGTCTGCAGGTTTGCTGTGGTGGGGATATTTTATTTTGTCAGAGTATACTGTTTTAAAGGGTTGTTCTGTCGTACCCGTATGTGTTGTTTTTATTTTAATTGAGTACGAGTAATGAAACAGCTGGTCTTTGTAACAAAGCTAGACAAGGCTTCTCACCCCATTCTTCTCTCATATTAGGGTAAAAATATGCACCTAGGTAGCGTCCCCATCACAATCGATAATGATAATTTTTAAAATGCTTAACATTTCAATGTTAAAAAACATAATTTTTGTCCCAATGTCTTTAAAAGTTATTTGTGTAACTAGTGGGTGAAGTGGCATTTTGCTGCAGGGAGAGAAATGTTTACTCACGAGCCGTAGGCGAGTATTACTATATAAAGCATATAAAAACTGCTTATTAGTCTTTCAAACACTGAAAAACGTGTTTTTAGGTTAGGTTAAATCCAATAATCGTAATATCTTTAAGTGTTGCTAACTTATTTAAAGCGTATATGTATTACGTGCCTAATAAAGTCATGCTGTTTTGTGTTATTTGGTTGGAATACTGGTGTGCCGCTAAAAAAAACTGTCCAGCAAAAGTAAGTAGATTCAGCAATTAGCAACTTTCTGTGCTTTAATCAGTGAAAGGAAGGCCACTTTGTCAGGTGACTGTAGGATTTTTTTACATTTATTGGAGTAGATTAGGTTTGAGAAATCACAGCTTTAAATCATATTAGAATTCATCGACATTTATTTTAAACATTTAAACACTGTGTAAGTTACATACATTGTAGATGAGCCCACAGCCTCACGTGTATCACACATTGGCCCTCACAAGCAGCTGACTCGGTAACACCTACTCACAATTAATTTTGGTTGTATTATTTCTCCCACAAAGCTTATTTTAAGAATACACAGAAAGAATGAAATATTCGTTACATTTAAACTCACTCGCATTTAAACCTGTTGTTGAGAATGTTAGGATCACTGAAATAAATTATCCTGTTACCACTCCCCCCTCCCCTACTTCATAAGATTTTAAATGACACCTAAATCTTAAAAATCGGTTAAGTGAGAAAAAGGGTTGTTGTAGACTGTGACTGTAGAGAAAACTTTTGCTGTATTAAATACTGTATATAGATTTATAATTCTACCACATTTATTTACAAAAATCGATGGCATGGCTAAACAGCTGATCAGTAATGTCAATGACATCAGCTGTTCACTTTTATTACTTGGAGCAAAAAAGAACTTTTGCTCTTTAGCACTTAAATTCATGTACTGCAAAGAGAAATTTGACAGCAGCGCAAAAAACATAATACCATTGATTGTTAACCAAACAATGTTATTGAGACATTTAATTTATACTCTATAAAAAATGGCATTCCAACCATCACAAGTTATGAAAGTCATCGTTGTTATTAGTAAAAGAATTTCAAAATAAAATATTTTCCCTAACAAGTGCAAAAAACGGTGATGCGAAGTTGAGCTTACAAAGGTAAGCTAATGTTTAAATGTGTCAAAGCCCTAGATAGTGATATTTTCAGTACAAAGTAAAAATCCTTTACTGAAAGGGCACAAGAATATGGGTCACACTCGATCCCTTATCAAATGTCTTGTTACCCTAATGGTGCACGACTTCTGTTAGAGAGTAGCCTACTTTCTTAATAAATGGACTGTTTTTATCACTTTACAATATATCATTTGAATATGTCAAACTATTTTTGAAAGTTACTGTGTATCGTCCTTTTGCTAAATCAATATAGTGAATTTTACCTGTTCAAAATGTTTATAGTTTTAGATTGTGTTGGTTTATAAGAGAATAATTGTGTTATTTTTATTTACTTTTGTACTGAGATTGTATCAAATACATAAATAATAATGCTTAACTTTGATAAGCATAGTTTGTATTTACATTAAGTCTTTAATTCCATATTTCTTTGACTAGGCCTTCTGAAATAATTTTGTTATTTGTCTTAAGTTTAATCAGCTTTTTTCAAAACACTTAAACATTAAAATGTTTAATGGATACGAAACCAAAATTGTAGACAATATGTTGACAAAAGCTTTAAAAAGAAATGAGAAAAAGAAAAGAACTAAACTGGAACCAATCAAAGTAAAGAAGAAATGGGTAAGCGCTACCTATACTAAGCAATATAAAGACGTCAAGAAAACGCTTCAGAAGAATGCTGAATTAATGGTTTCATTTAAAGCGAAAAACAAAATTAAAAACATTCTTGGAAATCCGAAAAGTAAATTAGAAAATACATCAAAATCTGGCATTTATCAAATTCAGTGTGACAGTTGTGAGATGAAGTATATTGGACAAACAAAAAGAAATATTAAAACTAGATTCAAAGAACACACTTCTCACATAACACACAACAGACCTGAAAAATCAGCAATAGCAAAACATTGCTTAGAAACGGACCACACAATTTCAATCAATAATACTAAATTACTAAAAAATATAACAAAATCCAATGAACATGCATGGGAATCATTATTTATAAATAAAATGGACAATTTGGTAAATAATGATAACGGTCCAATTCAAAATGTTACATTACTAAATTCTAAATTTACAAAGTTATAAGTTAATTCTACTTGATATTTCATTTTTATACATATACTAGCTGTGTACCCGTTCTACGCACGGGGATCTTATAATATTCAGTTGAAACCTTCTTATATAACGAACAGCAGTTGGTTTGCATATTTTAAGATATGCTGGCCAAACTATTATACATAGCTTCATTTTATGTTGTTTTTTGTTGTTCCGGATCGGTATGACAATCAATAAAAGGTTAAATTACCTCTGTGTCTGCCGGTCGATCCTATAACGGTAGGCTTACTTTTATTTTTACTATCTGATCTCGTTTGCATGGCTCAATCACGTCCTGGTTGAAGTTCGTTCGCTACGCTCACTCACCTGTATGTTGGAGCTCGTTCGCTGCGCTCCCTTTCCTTCAGGTTAGCTCGTTCGCTACGCTCACTTGCCTTCAGGTTAGCTCGTTCGCTACGCTCACTCGCCTCCAGGTTGCAAATTAGCTGTTGTCATAAATGTAAAAGAAATAATAGTGCTAGTGCTGCACCCTGTTGGTAATCCTTGTAACTTTAATGCTATTGAACATCACAGAACAGAACCAACTTGTTTAATTGAAACAGCTGTTAAGATTCAATAATTTCATTTCTCATAAGGTTAACATGGGCTTCCAGAAATTCCACGTCAAAAATC